GGAATTGGGTGTGGGGAGAGGGAGATTTGACTGAACATTTGAGTGGGGGCAGGGAGGGTTTGGGGTAGGGGGGTTTTCTATGCAGGGGGTGGCGGGGTTGTCCTCCCCTCTGGTGTTACTGGGTAGCTGGTTGTGGGTTCCCCCTTCGCCTCTGGGGGTGTTGTGTTGGGAGCTGTGACTTCCTGGTTTTCCCCTCTTGCCCTGCGCTTCTTCCTTGCTTCTGCTGCCATGGCTCTCTCCTCCCTTGTCATGTCTCTCTGGAGGAATACATTTTTTAATTTTCCCACGTTTTTCAGGGAGCTCTTCCTTGATAGAATCTTCTCCTTTCTGCTCTCCTTTGCAAACACTATCTTTATCACTCGGTCTCGGTCTTTGTTGTACCAACCTAGCCTGAAAACCTTCTCAATGCCATGCTCAGCCCCTTCCATGTCTGGTGCCTTCAGTATTTCATTCACTACTGCTTTGTCCTTGTCATTCCACTCTGTCCTATTAGAGCCTTCCTGTTCTTTAATACCCACAGCAACCACTGATCTGTTCCTTTCCAGCAGTTGGCTAGTGGAGCGTGCTGTCTCCTGTGAGGTGTCTGCTTTCATGGCTACCTCCATCACTGCAGTCATTACTTCAGAGTTTTTTTTTTTAGCATTTCTGCAAATGTTGCTTTTATTGTGACATTCTCATAAAAAATCTATTACCACCTTCTCCCTGGATGATTTTCTGAGTCTCAGCCTCGATACCATTCTCTTTGGGCGCTCTAATCTCCTCCTTTGCTGCTGTCAGCTCTCTTTTTAGGTTGCTTATTTCGTTCTTCATTTCCTGCATCATTTCTTGCATCTCACTCCTGATGTCCTCCAGAAACTGGGCAAACAATTCCTTCATTTCGTCACCTTGACTCTTCCCTGTTCCCCTGGTACCTCTGGCTGTCATGCTTGCCCCGTTCCTATAGTTGTGCCGTGATAAGATTTGTCAGGAGGACAGAGCGGGATGGGGGAGGGAGAGAGAGAGAGAGAGAGAGAGAGAGAGAGAGAGAGAGAGAGAGAGAGAGAGAGAGAGAAAGAAAGAAAGAAAGAAAGAAAGAAAGAAAGAGAGAGAAAGAGAGAGAAAGGTAGTGATAAAGGGAGAGATAATTGGGTGGGTGGGGGGACGATCCGACCCTTCCACTGAAGTGAGAAGAAAGTAGAAGGGAGGGGGGGAGGAGATGGAGAGAGAGGAGGGAGGGAGAGAGCGGGTGAGGAAGAGATGGGGTGAGGGAGAGATGGGGTGTGGGAGACAGAGGGGGGGAGGTGTGTGTGTGTGTGTGTGTGTGTGTGTGTGTGTGTGTGTGTGTGTGTGTGTGTGTGTGTGTGTGTGTGTGTGTGTGTGTGTGTGTGTGAGAGAGCGTTTGGGCAGAGAGGGGGGGGAAGGAAAGAAAGAGAGAGGGTGGGTAGGGATAGCGAGGGAGGAGAGAGGGAGAGAGAAAGAGAGAGAGAGAGAGAGAGGGGGGGGGTAGGGATAGCGAGGGAGGAGAGAGAGAGAGAGAGAGAGAGAGAGAGAGAGAGAGAGAGAGAGAGAGAGAGAGAGAGAGAGAGAGAGTGGGAGAGAGGGAGTGGGAGAGGGAGAGAGGGGAGAGAGTGGGGAGGGGAAGAGTGTGTGTATGGGGGATCCGGGGGACTGGGGGTGGGGGGGGGGCGGAGATGGCGACCTTCTGGCGGAGATGTGTGTGTGTGTGTCATTAACACACATCCAAAATAAAAAAATACCACTTCACGCATCACTCCAAATTTTGAAGAGGAAAAATACGTGTATACAGCTCGCTAGTCAAGCCGGCTCATATATCAGACCAGAGCACCCTTTATCGAGTGCCTAATAACCGTTAATTACCATCAGTTGATGATCAATGGGTGTCTAGTTACGGCCTCTGAGCAATTACAACAAAATTATCGTTAAAATGAGAATTCATTGATACAATGAAATGTGCTTTCCTTTGATCTGCTCATTAGGGAACGTCTCCACACACACACATTATATATATATATATATATATATATATATATATATATATATATATATATATATATATATATATATATTATTAAATATGACCGAAAAAGTAAGATTAATAATTCTAACACGAATTTTCTCAATCTTTCGTACATTTCGTTTCACTGTTGGAGGTAAATCAAAAATCAATTCTCCAAAATTCATTTTTATTTCTAGTCTGACGCGACACGAGCGCGTTTCGTAAAACTTATTACATTTTCAAAGACTTTAGTTCACAAATACACAACTGAATAGAACTTACGCATCTCCGATTTTATATATACATTTGAGTGAGGTGGAAGGGGTGATGTGGCATTAACACAAGACAGAACAAGATGTGGTATTAATAGGGTATTAATTTCATCAACACAAGACAGAACACGAAACAATGGATATTGAATAGAAGTGTTTGTAGAAAGCCTATTGGTCCATATTTCTTGATGCTTCTATATTGGAGCGGAGTCTTGAGGTGGGTAGAATATAGTTGTGCAATAATTGGCTGTTGATTGCTGGTGTTGACTTCTTGATGTGTAGTGCCTCGCAAACGTCAAGCCGCCTGCTATCGCTGTATCTATCGATGATTTCTGTGTTGTTTACTAGGATTTCTCTGGCAATGGTTTGGTTGTGGGAAGAGATTATATGTTCCTTAATGGAGCCCTGTTGCTTATGCATCGTTAAACGCCTAGAAAGAGATGTTGTTGTCTTGCCTATATACTGGGTTTTTTTGGAGCTTACAGTCCCCAAGAGGGCATTTGAAGGCATAGACGACGTTAGTCTCTTTTAAAGCGTTCTGTTTTGTGTCTGGAGAGTTTCTCATGAGTAGGCTGGCCGTTTTTCTGGTTTTTTAGTAAATCGTTAGTTGTATCCTCTGATTTTTGTCTGTAGGGATAACGTTTCTATTAACAATATCTTTCAGGACCCTTTCCTCCGTTTTATGAGCTGTGGAAAAGAAGTTCCTGTAAAATAGTCTAATAGGGGGTATAGGTGTTGTGTTAGTTGTCTCTTCAGAGGTTGCATGGCTTTTCACTTTCCTTCTTATGACATCATAAGAAGGAAAATCTTCTTTGCCTAATAGGCCAATCGGCCTATTAGGCAAATTGGGCCTTGCATAGTAGACCGAGAAGTGCGTTCTGGCTACTAGGTACGACATTAATATATATATATATATATATATATATATATATATATATATATATATATATATATATAAATATAAATATAAATATAAATATAAATGCATAATAAAGCACAAAAAATATTCAAGGAAGGGGGTGGTAGGAGAAAAGCACACAGAAACTGTATTGGAGGGGATCTAAACATTCCCTCTAATGCGTTATGCGTGGTTTCCTCCGAGGCAATGGGTCCCCCTTTTTCCAGCTAGAGGTGGTACTCTCTTCCTTATATATATATATATATATATATATATATATATATATATATATATATATATATATATATATATATATATATATATATATATATATATATATATATATATATATATATATATATATATATGTATATGTCGTACCTAATAGCCAGAACGCACTTCTCAGCCTACTATGCAAGGCTCAATTTGCCTAATAAGCCAAGTTTTCATGAATTAATTGTTTTTCGACTACCTAACCTACCTAACCTAACCTAACTTTTTCAGCTACCTAACCTAACCTAACCTATAGAGGTAGGTTAGGTTAGGTTAGGTAGGGTTGGTTAGGTTCGGTCATATATCTACGTTAATTTTAACTCCAATAAAAAAAATTGACCTCATACATAATGAAATGGGTAGATTTATCATTTCATAAGAAAAAATTTAGAGAAAATATAATAATTCAGGAAAACTTGGCTTATTAGGCAAATCGGGCCTTGCATAGTAGGCTGAGAAGTGCGTTCTGGCTACTAGGTACGACATATATATATATATATATATATATATATATATATATATATATATATATATATATATATATCTATCTATCTATATATATATATATATATATATATATATATATATATATATATATTATATATATATATATTCCTGGCTGGAAAAAGGGGACCCTTAGCCTCGGAGGAAACCACACATAACGCATTAGAAGGAATGTTTAGGTCCCCTCCAATACAGTTTCTGTGTGCTTTTCTCCTACCACCCCCTTCCCTATTTTTTTTTTTTTTGCTTTATTTGTATTTAAAGGTGACATGATATACATTGGTTGATACAAAAAATGCCTAAAGGTTATGGATCTCTTGAGACTCCTCCGCTTCCGAACAGGAACGGAGGATGCAGCAGGCATTTCCCCTCTGGACCGCTACACTGAGGCGCTGAAACAAAAAACTGGAAGCCCTTGGGTCTCTGGTGACGTCAGTGAACTTGGAGCCCAATTCCTTGAGAAATCCCATGGCACTCTTGCCCGAGGGGCCATCCGTCTCAGACGCTATGGGAACACTATGAGGGCCTCGTAGCCTGGTGGATAGCGCGCAGGACTCGTAATTCTGTGGCGCGGGTTCGATTCCCGCACGAGGCAGAAACAAATGGGCAAAGTTTCTTTCACCCTGAATGCCCCTGTTACCTAGCAGTAAATAGGTACCTGGGAGTTAGTCAGCTGTCACGGGCTGCTTCCTGGGGGTGGAGGCCTGGTCGAGGACCGGGCCGCGGGGACACTAAAGCCCCGAAATCATCTCAAGATAACCTCAAGATAACATAGAGGTATTGACCTTGCCGGTTGCCTGTACTTCAGTGATTTTGCTGTTTCCCTGTGGTTGGCAGCCCCATCTGCTTGATCAGCATCGAAGTGTACATAGGTGTCAGCGAGGGTGGATACACATGTGTAGTCCCACACCAAGAGTTTGCCAGTTTTCCAAGGGTATATGGTGATGCCATCAGGGCGAAGTGCAGGGTCATTCGGGTGGTGGGCCCCTAGAATACGAGGTTCTCTCTCCGCTGGGCACCGAGCTGAGACGAGGCTTCTCTTGATGACGTCACTGACCTCGTTGTATCTTGGGTGCCAGCGCTTTGTGCTTCCGCAATGCAACCCATGTAGTTCATATTGGTCTGATTCCACCCTGTTGCAAATACACTTGTATTCAGTGTGAATTGGGGCACCAAGGCGGAGGGCCACTGTTACACGTAGGGAATCTATATATATACCCGTGCCCTTTGCCGACATGGGTACTGCCAGGAGGAAGTCTCCTGCATGGGGGGCACGCACTGCTCTGAGGCGGGCTCTCTCCTTGTCTGATGTTGCAGCACTGAGCATGGAATCAGCTACTTTTTCCACTAGTGGGTGGTCCCAGACGGACTGTATGTTTTTTTGTTGGCTCTATTATAAGTGATGGGGCTGCAAGAACATCCCATTGATTTGAACATTCAGTGAAAGCAGGATCATATATTTCTCCTGAATCTCTCAGGGTTTTAGTCAGGATATCTCTGACGAGGCCATGCGATGCATGGGAGGAGGAAAGGAAAGCTGGTAGAGCAATCTGGGAGGCTGTGCGGACACCAAGGCCGCCGAGTCTTACAGAAAGGGTTGCTTGCTCCTACTGAGAGTCGTCCAATGGCGGGTTCAGAACTTTCACCAGCATGAACCTCAGAAGGGTGTCATACACATTTAACTTAGGGCTGCAGTAGGATGGAGAACATCTCAAGAAGAAGGTCAACTTAGGGAGAGCTAGGCATCTTGTGAGGAGGAAGAGAGCATAATGTGCATCAATCCTGTCAATCCTGTCCAGCATTCTCTTTAGAGCAGTGATTTTTGCAGCCAGGACCTCCTCGATTGCTCGAGGGCCAATGGGGGCACCCAGGAGAGTGCAGTCCGGTGGCTCGACGACGAGAATGTCTGGAAGAACATTTTGCATTTGCCAAGTGATGTCTGGGTTGTGGGAGATTATTTCACATATATTACATACATATTCCAAAACATTGTTAAGTAGGAAACATGGTTTTTGCATCCAGGACCTCCTCGATTGTTTGTGGGCCAAAGGGGGCACCCAAAGACTCGTTGTCGAGTCTGGTGACTCGACAACGAGAATGTCTGGAAGCACATTTTATATCTGACCAGTGATGTCTGGGTTGCGGGAGACTATTTCACATTTGCATACATTGAGAATGAGGCCCAAAGCTGCTCCCTGCTCCTGGATTTTCCTTATATCCTCCAAAATGGTTTCCGGGGTTCCACCGAGAGTGTCACACTATCAGTGACCTCTTTGATAGCTAAGCAGAAAAGGAGGGGTGCTAAGTGGTCACCTTGTTGGACATTATATTATATATATATATATATATATATATATATATATATATATATTTATATATATATATATATATATATATTATTAAATATGACCGAAAAAGTAAGATTAATAATTCTAATACGAATTTTCTCAATCTTTCGTACATTTCTTTTCACTGTTGGAGGTAATTCAAAAATCAATTCAAAATCAAATCAATTGAGGTGGGTAGAACTATATTCACAACTATATTCTACCCACCTCAAGACTCCGCTCCAATATAGAAGCATCAAGAAATATGGACCAATAGGCTTTCTACAATCACTTCCATTTCAATACCCATTGTTTCGTGTTCTGTCTTGTGTTGAAGAAATTAATACCCTATTAATGCCACCTCTTGTTCTGTCTTGTGTTGATGAAATTAATACCCTATTAATGCCACCTCACCCCATCCACCTCACTCAAATGTAGATATAAACAAAATCGGAAGATGTGTAAGTTCTATTCAGTTGTGTATTTGTAAACTAAAGTCTTTGAAAATGTAATAAGTTTTACGAAATGCGCTCGTGTCGCGTCAGACTAGAAATAAAAATGAATTTTGGAGAATTGATTTTTGAATTACCTCCAACAGTGAAAAGAAATGTACGAAAGATTGAGAAAATTCGTGTTAGAATTATTAATCTTACTTTTTCGGTCATATTTAATAATATATGTCTACAGGAAAGACTGCTACCAATATATATATATATATATATATATATATATATATATATATATATATATATATATATATATATATATATATATATATATATTAAATATGACCGAAAAAGTAAGATTAATAATTCTAACACGAATTTTCTCTGTTTCTTATATTTCTTTTCACTGTTGATGGTAACTGAAAAATCATATATCTACCCACTTCAAGACTCCGCACCAATATAGAAGCATCAAGAAATATGGGCCAATAGGCCCTCTGCAGTTACTTCCATTCTTCCCTTTAACTTATAAAATATTATACCCATTATTTCGTGTTCTGTCTTGTGTTGAAAGTTTGTTTTCACCTCATCCAAAACTGTTGTAAGATATCACCTCACCCAAATGCAGGTATAAAATAGAAGCTGTTTGAACTCTGTTCAGTTATAGTTGTGTGTGTGTAAACTAAAGTCTTTGAAAATGTAATAAGTTTTACGAAACGCGTTCAAGTGGCGCGTCAGACTAGAAATAAAAATGAATTTTGGAGAATTGGTTTTTCAGTTACCATCAACAGTGAAAAGAAATATAAGAAACAGAGAAAATTCGTGTTAGAATTATTAATCTTACTTTTTCGGTCATATATAATAATATATGTCTACAGGAAAGACTGCTACCAAAATATACTAATATATATATATATATATATATATATATATATATATATATATATATATATATATATATATATATGAATTTTCAGAGTTGCATATATGCCTGGAGACCGTTCAGGCTTGTTTCCATTTGTGTTCCTCACATGTGCCCCAAAGAATGAGGTGATTTGATAAAATACCATGCCCAAGATTACCATCAGATTGCCGGCGGGAGGGTGAATTAACCTTGGCTACCATCCTCTTCTGTCCGGTCGTGTTGGTCGAGTGGTTAAGGGATCCTGTACGCCAGATACAGAATGTTCCCGGCAGTATGGGTTCGAGTCACTTCTGGGGTGTGAGTTTTCAGTTGCATATAGTCCTGGGGACCATTCAGGCTGGTTCGCATTTGTGTTCCTCACGTGTGCCCCAAAGAATGAGGTGATTTGATAAAATGCTATTCCCAAGATTACCATCCGAGTGCCGGCGGGGAAGTGGTTCAAATAGCTTCGGCTATCACTTCTTTATGTCAGGTCGTGATGGTCAAGTGGATTAAGGTGTCCTATACATACCAGTTGCGTTGCTCCTGGCAGTATGGGTTTGAGTCACTTCTGGGGTGTGAGTTTTCAGTTGCATATAGTCCTGGGGACCATTCAGGCTTGTTCGCATATTATATATATATATATATATATATATATATATATATATATATATATATATATATATATATATATATATATGTCGTACCTAGTAGCCAGAACGCACTTCTCAGCCTACTATGCAAGGCCTGATTTGCCTAATACCCCAAGTTTTCATGAATTAATTGTTTTTCGACTACCTAACCTAACCTAACCTAACTTTTTCGGCTACCTAACCTAACCTAACCTTTAAAGATAGGTTAGGTTAGGTTAGGTAGGGTTGGTTAGGTTCGGTCATATATCTACGTTAATTTTAACTCCAATAAAAAAAATTAACCTCATACATAATGAAATGGGTAGCTTTATCATTTCATAAGAAAAAAATTAGAAAAAATATATTAATTTAGGAAAACTTGGCTTATTAGGCAAATCGGGCCTTGCATAGTAGGCTGAGAAGTGCGTTCTGGCTACTAGGTACGACATATATATATATATATATATATATATATATATATATATATGTATATATATATATTATATATATATATATATATATATATATATATATATATGTCGTACCTAGTAGCCAGAACGCACTTCTCAGCCTATTATGCAAGGCCCGATTTGCCTAATAAGCCAAGTTTTCATGAATTAATGTTTTTTCGACTACCTAACCTACCTAACCTAACCTAACCTAACTTTTTCGGCTACCTAACCTAACCTAACCTATAAAGATAGGTTAGGTTAGGTTAGGTAGGGTTGGTTAGGTTCGGTCATATATCTACGTTAATTTTAACTCCAATAAAAATAAATTGATCTCGAACATAATGAAATGGGTAGCTTTATCATTTCATAAGAAAAAAATTAGAGAAAATATATTAATTCATGAAAAGTTGGCTTATTAGGCAAATCGGGCCTTGCATAGTAGGCTGAAAAGTACGTTCTGGCTACTAGGTACGACATATATATATATATATATATATATATATATATATATATATATATATATATATATATATATATATATATATATATATATATATATATATATATATATATATATTCAGGCTTGTTCGCATATATATATATATATATATATATATATATATATATATATATATATATATATATATATATATAGTATATTTTAGTAACAGTCTTTCTTGCAAACATATGTTGTTGAATATGACCGCAAGCGTAAGATTAATAATTCTAACTCGAATCTTTTCAATATTTCTTATGTTTTTCTTCACTGTTGGGGGGAAGTTGAAAAATGTAAACATTAACTCTCTAAAGTTATTTTTTTACACTTTTATTTTGCATTTGACGCCTAGGAATGCGGTTTGCAAGGTTACTCCTTACATTCTCAAAGGCTAATTTACCATGCTGTTTGTTGTTCTAGATTCAGCTACTTTGAACAAAAAGTTCCTAGTAGCACGGCCATGGCGAGCCCGTATTAAACTTTCTACTACCGGACTGTGTTTCTACTTCTGCTTTCAGTGGGGCTATGTTTACCATGCTTGTGCACAAGCTTATATTCTCTTTGTGTGGTGGTTTAAAACAAGTGTATGAGACAAGTGGATGGGTGTCATAACATTGGGTATATTAATAGCATATTACATGCATCACCATAAGTAGCCTATGTTCTTGTGGCTGCTTATGATTCTAAGGCAGGGTCATTGGATCATGTCTCTGTGTTGGCTCGGGGTCTTTAAGTGGGTAGGATGTAATTATGTTTTAACTGGTTTTTGATTGCTGGTCTTGACTTTATGATGAGCAGCACCTCGCTGATATCCAGTTTTCCTGTTGTCGTTATAAATGTCGATTATTTCAGTGTTGCTTGTTAAGTTGTCTCTGGTGATGGTCTGGTTATGTGATAGGATTAAATGCTCCTTGATGGAGCCCTGTTGCTTGTGCATTGTTAATTGTCTAGAGACGTTGGGGTCTTGCCTATATACTGAGATCTTTGGGGCTGACAATCCCCAAGTGGGCAAATGAAAGCATAGACGATGTTGGTCTCTCTTAAGGTGTTCTATTTGGTGTCTAGAGAGTTCTTCATTAGTAGGTGGCGGTCTTCTTGTTTTTTAAATTTTATTGATAATTATTTCTTCTCATTGGTGTCTGTGAGGATAACGTTCATATTAATAATATAATTCAAGATTTTTTCATGCATTTTGTAAGCCGTGGAAAAGAAGTTAATGTAAACAGTCATATAGGGGGTATGGGTGTTGTACTGGTGTTTTCTTCATGGGTTGCATGGCGTGTCACCTTTCTCTTAATGACGTCTTCAACATAACAGTTATAGAAAACATTATTGACTAGTATCTGCATTACTCTAGTTCTTAGTTGACCTGCTTCCAACCAGAGCTGTGAGAGCTCGGTCGACGTAAGCGATGACAACACTTCGCTCTGTATGGACAGTCACTATTAGCATTAGGGCACATTCCTATGTTCGTTTCCTTAGTGTAGACTGCAGTGTGAAAGCCTCCATTCAATTCCGCGACTGTTACATTTAGAAAGTGTAGCTTCCTATCACTCTCAATCTCGTATGTGAAACTTAACACAGAATTTTGCTCGAATGACTCCTTCAACTGCTGTAAACGTCTGACACCAGGTACCTGCTTAAATATGTTATCAACGTACCTGCAGTATATGGCAGGTTTTAAGTCCGTGTCAACTAAGACCCTCTTCTCTATGGTACCCAAGAAAAATTTCGCGAACTGGACACATAGAAGAGAACCCATGGCGACCCCAGCCACTTGTTTATACTTGTGCCCATCGGGACTCAAGAAGAGTGCCTCTTTAGTGCAAACTTTGTTTAACTTCCTCAGTATGTCAATAGTGGTTATTAAGGCCAGCTTGGGCCAGTAACCGGATTCATTCTGTTAACGTATCTTATAACCTCCTCTTCTATGATTCGACCGCAAGTCGATGGTAAGTTTTCAAGAACTGGCTGTGGCAAGTAGTAGTGCAAAGAATAAAGGGGGATGACCAGTATGCAATTAAACCTTCACCAATATATTATCACCTTCACTAATATATTATATCTCTAAGTATTACTACACATATTTACACTGTGTCGCTTTCCCTCAGGACACTCAATAGATTTGCAGAGTTCATCAAATCCTGGCAAGTCCACTACATCCAGGTTCATGTCATCAACGCTCAATAGTAATCACCGGTGAGTTCACCTTCTGCAACATGGGCCAGTCCAAACACTCTATCATCACGGTGTTCCACTACCCCACATCCACTCTCCAGAAACACACTGGCAGAAGTCTCTAGCAACACACTAGCAGCACTTCTCAGCAGATGAACACTACTGTTGTCTCGTAACTCCTCTAGGCCAAATCCCGGGTATGTCAGTCTATACAACACTACATAAATTCAGCAACAAACACACTGCTACTACCGACGGCGGCCACTTTGTCCTCTCACAGGACTAAATCACGAGTTCTGGACTGCCCAAGGTGAACTGCCCTCCTCAGCACAATCACATCCTTATGTCACCTCTGTAAACATAAACGTCATTAGCTACACAGACAGTATACTGTGGGGCTTTCGGATAACACCCGTTCACCGGGGAACTGAAATTGTAATTGTATTCACAACCTAGATGGTGTGGGGTATCGTCCCACAGAGGTCATCATCATTGACCTCACTTCTTAACTGACGTATGAATTAAGAGCCCCTCACCGGCGCCACACCTCTGCCAACATATGGTGTTGTCCGCATCTCACCAAATTCCTGGAAGTTGGAGTGCAGGTCCATAGCAGGCGCAGAAATCATCACTCCCCAATCCAGCAACGGTGTTGATACCGTAACAGTGGTACAAGCCGAATCACGATACACTCTGTCCATCATCATCCCGATTGTTTTATCCACAGTCACGTTGGTAAACAGTGACTCCACATCCACAAAGGATCTCATCTCTGTGGCCCGTGCTCCCCACAGTAAGTCAACAAATTCCTTTGGAGACTTCAGGCTAAAAGCACAAAGGAAATAAGGAGTAAGCAGGTAGTTAAGTCGCTTAGCCAGTCTGTATATGGGTGTGGGTTCTTGGTTCCAAGGGGTTGTCATAGCCAAGGGGTAGTAATGAGGGACGAGCTCCCATGACCTATAAAATGCTCCTATAAGGCATGCGTCTCAAATAGTCTCTGATAACCAAGTCCAACTCCTGGCCTGCACAGGTGGCTTAGTCTAAGTCCACAGAACTGCTTTTACCGACAGGAGAAGGGGCGAGGGCGTGCCTCTGGCGCCTTAAAACCAGCTGCTCCGGGTAGATGGGACTCGATAGCCTGGGAAGGCAGCCCATCTAGGGGAAGGAAAACCCTGATTTTGAACCTCTGCTGCCTTGCGGCCATACCCCTTTTTTGGGAAAGGCTTCAGGAGTCAACCTCGAGGAAAAATCCGGAGTTGGAGCCCCTAAGGCAGTTCGTTGTTGACGTCGACCTCGTTCTGGCAGCTCCTGCGACGTTGCTGGAACCATGTGTATTGGCATTTGCCTTTCTATTGGATAATTTCAGCAACGTGGAGAGGAGGGACCTGCTGCATGGGTAACAGCTTCTCCTCCATATCTACCTACCCAGGCTTTGCGCCCTGGAGAGGGCACTCCAGCTTCACCTCACAGCGTCGAACCAACACGGGAAGCGACAGTCTACCAGTTTTAAGTCTTCTGCTTGATTGGCGAAGGGTGTGACGCCAGGGGTTGCTTCCGACAGTGCGAGGTATCATCGGTTACGGTATCATCGCGCCCTACTGGGCAGCTACCATCCGCCTCAAGCTGGGCAAACCCCAGCCAAGAAGGTATTACCTCGTCACGGTCCATTAACCTCACTGGGTACGTGGGGTTTAGGGTGAAAACTGACAAGCGGCCCGACAACTTTGCACCAAGCAATACCAAACCTAAAAAGAAAATATCAACTGCCCTAAAGCTGGGCACATGGAACGTCAGGACACTGACACCAGGTTTCTCTGACGACCTGCAAGAAATCAATGACGCCCGAAAAACAGCAATCATCGATAGGGAGCTGAGCAGACTGCAGATGGATATTGTTGCTCTCCAAGAGACCAGGCTCCCAGGATCAGGATCTGTGAGAGAGAGGACCTTCTCTTTCTTCTGGCAAGGAAAACCACCTGATGAGACCAGAGAACATGGTGTGGGATTTGCCATTAGGAATGCACTACTGTTGGGACACATTATGCCACCGATGGGGGAAACCGAACGAATTCTGTCTCTGCAACTGCACTCCCAAACAGGACCAGTCAATGTAATTAGTGCATATGCACCAACCCTGACTTCTCCAGCAGAGGCAAAGGAAAAAATCTACGATGACCTCAACAGAGTCATAGCGAGAATCCCTGTAAAGGAGCCACTGATCATCCTCGGCGACTTTAACGCCAGAGTGAGTGCCGAGCACAACATTTGGCCCACTTGTCTGGGTCAATTCGGCATTGTGAGGATGAATGAGAATGGGCAACGTCTGCTAGAACTCTGCTGCCTTCATGGTTTTTGTGTCACCAACACGTTCTTCGGCACAAAGCCTCAACACCGAGTATCTTGAAGACACCCCAGATCCAAGCACTGGCACCAGCTTGATCTGATTCTTACCAGGTGTGCAAGTCTACCCAGCGTCAATATTACACGTAGCTACCAGAGTGCTGTCTGTGACACCGACCACTCCCTGGTATGTAGCAGGGTCAAGATGCAACCAAAGAAGATTCATCATTCGAAAAAGGCGGGCAGACCTCGCATCGACACCACCAAGACCTGCAACCAGGACAAGGTGGAAGATTTTGCACGCGTGCTCGAGGAAGCTCTCCCTGGCCCAGCTGGGGTCACTGCCTGTAAAAGATGGGAGCACTTCAGAGACGCTGTGTTCAGCGCTGCCATTTCCACCTTTGGCAAGAAGAACAGCAGGTCGGCAGACTGGTTCAAGGCTCTCTCAGAAGAGATGACACCAGTCATCGAAGAGAAGAGAAACGCCGTGGCAGCTTACAAAGCCTGCCCAAGTCAGCGCAACTTACAGATCCTTCGGGCCGTCCGCTGCAAAGTGCAGCAGAGCACCAGGCGATGTGCCAACAACTATTGGCTCTGCTCCCAGATACAGACTGCAGCGGATACAGGCAATGTAAGGGGAATGTATGACGGCATCAAGCAGGCCCTCGGCCCAATCCAGAGGAAGACCGCTCCTCTGAAATCTGCAACTGGCGAGGTGATTCAGAACCAGACACTGCAGCTGAAGCTCTGGGTCGAGCACTACTCTGACTATACGCCAGGGACAATGTGGTCACTGAACACGCCCTGAGCGCCATTGAGTGTCTGCCTGTGTTAATGGAGCTCGACAGCAAACCGACCCTGTAAGAACTCAGTGATGCCCTAGACTCCCTTGCTTCTGGTAAAGCTCCTGGCAAAGATGGCATTCCTGCTGAGACCTTGAAGTGCTGCAGAGGTAGCCTGCTCATGGAGCTGCATGAAATTCTCTGCCTCTGCTGGGAAGAAGGAGAGGTGCCACAGGACATGAGGGATGCCAACATCGTCACGCTGTATAAGAATAAAGGTGACAGGGGCGACTGCAACAACTACTGTGGAATCTCCCTCCTCAGTATTGTCGAAAAGCTGTTTGCTCGAGTCGCATTGAAGAGGCTCCAAGTACTTACAGAGTCTATCCAGAATTACAATGCATATTCCGAGCTGACAGGTCCACCATCGACATGGTCTTTTCCCTCAGACAACTGCAGGAGAAATGCAGGGAACAGAAGCAGCCACTCTTTGTAGCCTTCATAGATCTGAAGAAGGCCTTCGACCTCGTCAGCAGGGATGGCCTCTTCAAGATCCTCCCCAAGATCGGATGCCCACCGAGGCTCCTCAGCATCATCAGATCTTTCCATGAGAACATGATGGGGGCACCGTGGTGTTTGATGGCCTAACATCAGACGCCTTTGACATCCAAAGTGGAGTAAAGCAGGGCTGCGTACTGGCTCCAACCCTATTCGGGATTTTCTTCACAGTTATGCTGCGGCACGCCTTCGGATCTGTCACGGAATGCATTTACCTTCGGACCAGGTCGGATGCTGGCCGCTGGCCGCTCTTTAACATCGCCAGGCTGAGAGCCAAGACGAAGGTTCGGCTGAGGTGTCTGCGCGACTTCCTTTTTGCCGATGATGCAGCAGTCACTGCCCACTCAGCCGAAGACCTCCAACGGCTCATGACCCGCTTTAACGAGGCCTGTCAGGCTTTCAAACTCACCATCAGCCTGAAGAAAACACAAGTAATGGGACAAGGAGTGGACTACCCACCTGATATCGGCATCTCCGATTCCAAACTGGAAGTCGTTCACTACTTCGTGTCCCTTGGCTCCACAATCTCTGACTCCCTCTCACTTGATACGGAGCTAAACAAACGCATCGGTAAGGCATCTACTACCATGACCAGACAAAGAGAGTGTGGGACAACAACAGGCTGAGTATACAAAGATTCAGGTTTACGGAGCCTGTGTCCTTGAGCACTTTCCTTTATGGCAGAGAGTCTTGGACACTCTGCGCCCGTCAGGAAAGACAGCTGAATGCCTACCACATGCACTGTCTTCGACACATCTTGGACATCACCTGGCAGGACAAGGTGACAAACAACAACGTCCTGGGGAGAGCAAGAATCACCAGCATGTACACAATGCTGAAACAGAGATGAATGCTCTGGCTCGGGCACGTTGTGCGAATGGGCGACGGCAAGATCCCCAAGGATCTCCTGTATGGAGAGCTGATGCAGGGAAAGCGTCCAGCAGGCAAGCCCCAGCTACTGTACAAAGACGTATGCAAGAGGGACCTGAAAGCCATGGACGTCGATCTTGCTATATGGTTGACACTGGCTGCAGACCGTTCAGCCTGGGGGCTGTCTGTTCAAAGAGGTCTCTCCAAGTTCGAGGAGTCACTTGCCAAGGAATTGGAGGCAAAGAGACAGAAGGAAAGCCAGGAAGACAGTCCAGAATCGGACTTCGTTTGTGCTCGGTGTGGGATGGACTGCCACTTTCGGATTGGCCTCATCAGTCACACCAGACGCTGCACCAGGATTGACAACTAGGGCGCAACTCCATAGTCTCCCGAGACTGAAGGATGCCTACTACTACTACTACTACTATATGGGTGTGGGTATCTGGCTGATGATTGGTCAAAGTGGGCTTCCGGGTTTGTGGGTCTTGACATTCCCATATGCATAACCAAGTTTGTATTCCCCAGTAACCTTTGACAGGTGGAGTCCAGATTTCTTGGCGTTCACAGTTTTAATCTGTTTACCTTCGTTTTCAATTTGGTAATAGTGTCCCTCGTGACCCTTTGGAATTTAGTTTGGTTGGAGAGGATGAGGTTCATTTTTGCCAGATATTCGTCTTTTTTAAGTATAACGTATATTGGTGACTTTTCACTTTTGATGACTATCTCCTTATTCTCACAAAGGCCCTTAGCTGCCGCTTTGAGCTCGGGGGACAGTATAGTGCTTCTGTAGTTACCTCGAATATATCCTCCTCTGCATTAAGTTCTGCTTGCAAGGTGTCTTTAGTGGTAACCTTCTTTTGCACCTCGAGGTCGAATATGTCATCCAATAGGATCTCCAACTCCACTTTCTGGGCCATCTCACTTGGTCTGGACATAAATCTGGGAATAAACTGTCACGTTAAGAGAGTGATTTGGTCCTCAGTGAGGTTGATTCCAACAAGGTTTAAGAAGCTATCTCTAGGTCTACGAATCGCCATCAACCGAATAATGTTGTCAGTTTCTTGAGAGTTTCGGTGCTGTTGCGATGTCGATCTGTAAGATCGTCGAGGTTTTGGTCGATTCGGGTACAGAGCTCTTCGTCGATATTAGTGTGTCTCCATTCGTCTGTAGTACGCTTTGCTATCGTTGGTCTCCTTTTGTTCTTTGTGTATCTGATTTTGAATCAGATCTTAGCGATATTTTATCGTGAAATCTTGGTTTCTTGCTGCTGGGTCGTGCGATCTAATAATACTGTATTTCGGTAACAGTGTTTTTGTAAACATATGTTGTTGATTATTACCGAAAGGGTAAGATTAATGATTCTAACACGAATCATTTCAATATTTCTTATTTTTTCTTCGCAGTCGAGGGAAGTTTAAAAATTCTCTTTCCAAAGTTCATTTTCACAATTAATATGGTCTAATGTTTAGGCACCCTTTCATTTTCAAAGAAAAACTTACAATGCTTTAGCAAGAGCTTATATTCTCTTGGAGGTGAGGTGGTACAGGAAATGATTGATATGAACAAGTGGATGAAACTTAATGGATATTAATAGATTATTATTAATAGTCTATCTTTTTGCTCTACTGTCAATGTGTTGGTTCGGGATCTTGAAGTGGGTAGAATGCAATTATGTGTTAACTGGTTGTTGATTGCTGGTCTTGACTTTTTCATTTGTAGTTCCTCACTGATGTCCAGTCTTCTATTGTCGTTATACCTGTCGATTATTTCAGTGTTGCTGGTTAAGATGTCTCTAGTGATGGTCAGGTTGTGTGAGGAGATTATATGCTACTTGATGGACCCTGTTGCTTGTGTCTTACCTATTGTTACAGTTCCCTCTCCTGTATCTTCCCATATCCAGCAAGATGAGTCGTATCTCTACGTCTTGCATGTTTCCTGAGATGCAGGGATTCGTTTGACATAGGTGACGATTAGCAAGAGTACTTATTCGGGGAGAAAATACCACGACAAAAAAGTCCTTACAAGGGACCTTACGCCCTTTAGGTGCACAAGATGACAATTGATAGACCAGACTCCCTCCAAGACGTGAGAGCACCAGTCGCTTGCCGATGGCTAGTCCAGGTCAGGTGCCGATATTGACCAATGGGGAGCCCAACCCCGGGCTGTGACATCACCGGGCCGCAGAATCCGAGGGTTGGCAAGCGCCAGGAGCTCAAAGTTAGACAGCCCTTACAAAGAGCAGACGTGCACCCAGTAAGCTCTATTGGAGGTCTAGGAGCCTCGCCCAGTGGATTTACGAAGTCTGGCGTATGCTATAGTTATTACAGAAGAATAGTGGGCTTTCGAGGAGCACGATGAAGCCGACTTTCGACGGTGTGAGGAAGCTACGAATTCGTGGCTGGTAGTCTTAAATGGAGGAGGGGCGACGACGCGGAGTGAGCAGAGTGAGGAACTCCACTGGCAGGCCCCAACGCGATGCAGAGCTGCTGTGACCTGGTTACGTCCACTGGTGATTGGAAGGAAGACATTGCAACCGGATCTTCGAGTATTTGTCTCAATGAAGGTGCGAGTGTGGGAAGACGAAGAATGCAGGAACTACTGTCAGGACCAGCAGGAGGAACAACAATTCTGGGAGTGAGCAAGGCGAAGACACATTTCTACACGACACCCGAGGACCTGTGATTCCAGTCCTGCATGCCAAGGAATGCCCAGCGGATTGAAGACCACATTCAATCACCAGAGCCTAAGCGTCTTGTGGCAGGCAATGTTAAGGTAGATAATTATTTCCTTCCCATTGTCTTTGAGAACTAGGTGAGTTAGGCCGTGGGAAAGGAGAAAGCGGATAAACAGCGGGGAGATCAACACCCACTGCTAGATTATGACATGTCAGTCAATCCGACCGGCGCAGGTCACTGTCCTAGCGCCGTATACTGCAGGGTGATTATATTATATTATATTATATATATATATATATATATATATATATATATATATATATATATATATATATATATATATATATATATATATATATATATATATATATATAGTCATTATCATAGAGGTACGTTAGGCAGTAAGCCAGTATATATACCTGTATTACCTGTGTGGAAACAGTTACCAGTGTGGAAGCGAGTGGCAGAGCTGCACCTGTGGGAAGAGCCAGTCCCTTTAAATTCGGCCCAGTTGATCAAGTGACCGGAGGCGGCAAGAGGAGAGCTGCCGACACCTGCCAGTTTACTTTATGTTTACCTTTCATGCTTTATGTAGATTTTCCTTCAGTAAACTTCGCTACATTTTACCATTCACTTTGCATATGTCCTCCATTTCATTGAGTATTATTGGAAAGTGACACTATATTTGCACCACACTATACTTTTCGAAAGGTACTCTTGGCTTGCAATACTATACAAGATTAATATGAAGTGTTGCTGGGACGCAGATACGGATTACCCAACTGGCAACCGGAAACGAGGGAGGATCTCAGGTGAGTACCAGAGTGCCCGGTATTATTGTGCATGTTATGGCGGGCAAGCCCGGTGGTGGAGCTGCAGGCTCGAGGTGATCTGGGCTTTCTCCACTACCCATGGGTACAAGGCCGGGCAGCGGGTAGGGACTGAACTCGTGGCAAGACTTAGAGGGCTCCCAGTGTGGACAGTGGCACCCAAGCAGAAGGGAGCAAAGACCCGCGGTGAGGAGTTATAGTGATCCATAACATTGCACTTCTGTTGTATGACTATAACTCTCCTCACTCATGGCCAACAGTGTGACATGGAAGTGGCAACCTTGCCATGATCGTCGAACGAGTAACAGTGTTACCAGGATCGTCAAACGAGTAACAGTATTGTCAAGGATTATCGAGCACAGATTATCGTATTGCCCAGGGATTACAAGTGCTGTAACAGTGTAATAGAACTGGAATTAAGTGGTTATTTATTTCTGTGCTAGTGAAGTTAGTGTGGTGCCATTATTTGCTCAGTGACAGAGAAGGAGGATGGTAAGGTGTCTAAGTTTGTGGAGGCAAGGAATGAGAGTGTGTTTGAGGAGTGCACCAAGGCCCAGCTCCAACTCGTTACGAACCACTTTGGCATCCATTTGAGGACGTTCTAGGTAGCAGAGCGCCGGATAGAGATTATGGCGCAACTCAAGACGCAAGAGGAGGCCACTGGGGAAGACCCGTCCCAAGCACCTGCCAGTTGTGAGGACCCGGAGTGAAGGGAGAAGCAGCGGGAGGCTCTCAGCAGTTAGAGGTGCATGAAGCTGGAAATGATGAGGATACAGTTGGAAGCCCAGCTGCAGAGGGAAGAATGTGAATGGGAAGCCCAGCTGCAGAGAGAAGAACCTGAACGGGAAAACCAGCTGTGACGAGAAGAACGGGAAGCCCAGCTA